CCATTCGGCCTAATGCTCTCATACCTTAAATCAGCCCTGAGATACAGAAAGGGTGAATGTCATGTCCAGCGTTACCTTTCTATTTTCGATGATGGGTACATTCAAACTGAGATGACTTTGAAAACAAATCAGCTTTAATTAGTAATTTCAATCCCCAAATAATATTTATTCTAATTTATTAATTATTTTAAAATCACAACATTATAAATTAACTTCATCTTTTAAAAAATCCAGGATTATACTGGAATAGCAATTTGGTGCCTTACCAGATTTTATATTAACTAAATATTAACTTAATATTGGCAAATCTCTAGTGTTGAGAGATAATGTTATATAAGTGCATAAAGAATTAGCTACTTTTCATTTGCCAAAAGACATACCTCAAACCCAAGGGAAAATAGCTATTTGGGGGAAATTTATAAAGAAAATAGGACAATGAAAGGAAAGACTCTATATATATAGGTTGTTGATTAGAAGATTCTAATGTCTCCTTATATTTAGATCATTTTTTTTTTTGGTCTTGTGTTTAAATTTAATAGGTAAAAGAGATCTAGTATTTGGTTATTCAATCCCCTGTACTACCTGATATTTTATATCCATGTGATACAGTAAGCTCACTATATATACATACATATTATATATATCACTTCCCACAGGATGAGGTTTACAGAGTTGAAGTTTAAATTCCAGAGTGCAGAGTCATATGCTGGGGGTTGGGGCTGGGAGAAGATGAAGGAATTTGGAAGAGAAAGAGGAAGGAGCTTTGGTTTATGATTCAAGGTCTGGTGGGAACTTTTTTGAAAATGTAGGTGCTATTTCCTGCAATCAAGGGCTTTCCAGAGCTTGATCATCATTTCCCAGCTGTATCTCTTTGCCGAATTGTTTTTAGTTGTGGGCAGTCCATGGCTGTTTTTTCCCATTTATGATGGAAGAAGATCATATTTATCTTGCTGATAGAAAGCAGGGAATTTAACTCCCACAGCTTCTCCCCTCTTTCTCTTCACCTTGAGGAAAATTTAACTTTGTTCTAAAGTGCGGGGAAAAAAAAAAGCCTCTACTGTAGTATGTCAGGCAAATTTCAGCTTGATTTGTGTCAACCCTAATAAGAAAGTTGACAAAGTAATAAATTGGGTGTCTGCTCAAGATCTGGCACCCATACAGGAAATAAAAAAGTATTTCAATTTCAGGCAGGTTCTCTTTGTTTTACAAATGAAGTTTTCCCGGGACCCTCTTTCTTTTATCAAATTCTTGATATCTTAAAACCTATTTAAATTGTCACTGGAACTGACAAGAAAGATAGCAACTTTAAAAAAGAGATACTGAACTGATGGGACATTGATGAAGCAGGTGATTCTATTTGCCCTGTTCACCAGTGTGTCATCTCTGTCTTGTGCGGTCCCTGGCACCTTGTTGGCTCTTAATATGAAATTATTGATTGATTGAATGAATCCATGAATGGATCTGTTTTGATGACATGTACTAAAGCTTAAGGAAAAAGCTATAGCTTATTAGATTTTCTATTGTATTTTGTACATTTTTTATTTTTCTTTCTGGATCACTCTTTTTTAAGGTTATTGACTGAGACAATATTGCCCCCAAGGAGGCATGTGGACATTTGGTGTCACAACTTGGATAGAGGGCTGTGCTACTGGTATCTCTAGTAAATGGAGAACAGATATGCTGCTAAATATTCTACAATTCACAAGACAGGCCCTCACAACAAAGAATTATCTGGTCCAAATAGCAATAGTTTCAAGGTTTAAAATCCTTGGTTTAGTGAAATTATTAAGTTTGCCCGTATAAAACTAATATTATATGCTGTTTTTTTACCTAAAATTTGAATTTTATATGACTAACCCTCTACTAAAGTGTAATAGGAAACAATTTTAAGATTTCATAATTTGGGTAACAGTTTCTATAGGACAGATCCCTACAAAAAAAATGATCTTGTCCAAATGTCGATAATGATGCTCGAGAAGCCCTAGCCTCAACAGTGGTCCCCAATCTTTTTGGCACCAGGGACCGGAGCTCCTATGAGACTTTAATGCCTGATGATCTGAGGTGGAGCTGAGGTGGTGATGCTAGCGCTGGGGTGTGGCTGCAAATACGGATGAAGCTTCGCTGGCTCTCCCGTAGCTCACCTCCTGCGGTGCAGGCCAGTTTCTAACAGGCTACAGTCCATGGCCCGGAGTTAGGGACTCCTGAAAAAGATATCAACTAAGCTAACAGGCTTAAAAATAAATTTCGTTCTAGCCCCTACTTTAATAACCTGGATAACAAATTGGAAGGCAAGTTTGATTAATTGATTGATTGATTTTTTAATTACAGTTGATATTCAATATTATTTTATATTAGTTTCAGGTGAATAGCACAGTGGTTAGACATTTATATAATTTACAAAGTGATCCCTCCGATTAGTCTAGTACCCACCTGACACTATACTTAGTTATTAAAATATTATTGACTATATTCCCTATGGAAAACAATTTGGAGTTACTTCAAAAAATTAAAAATATAACTACCTTATGACCTAGCAATTCCACTTATGGGTATTTATCTGAGGAAACCCAAGACACTAATTTGAAAAGATATATGCATCCTTATGTTCACTGCAGCACTATTTATAATAGTCCAGGTATGGAAGCAACCTAAGTGCTCATCAATAGGCAATTTGAAGACAAGTTTTAAGTTTAGATTCTTGGATTCCTCAGAGTTCCGGAAGAGAATGGTCTGTTCTGTCTCATGAGGGACCTCATGCACATGTGTGTGGACATTCCAGACTGCTTGTCCAAGCTCTGTCTACGTGTCCAAAAATAGACACCCTTGACTACCTTGTCACGTCTAGAAGTTTACACACCTGCACAAATCAGCCTTCTAAAGGACTGGACCAGGAAAGAGGCCCATGAAGCTTCTGCAAGCAGGCTCAGACCACTTGGACAGGGCATTCCAGAGTAGCCACATCATGGCCAGGGTTGAGACAGAAGTTCTGGGCAGGTAGTCCCTTTGGTTCAAGGACTCACACTCAGGGACAAAATACTCTTTCCAGCCATATAATCATTAAAGGAGGTCATCGAGAGAAATGCTGGTTGGTCCATGAGCTGGACCTGGGCGTGGGAGACTCCTTATCCATTTCCCGTCCTTGGAATATATGTTCTGCCTGTTCCCATTCTAGCAGCTGTTTCAGGGACATATCCTTGAGAGAATTAAGGTGTTGTTGAGACCATCTGGATTGAATACGTGACTGAATCTAGTTAAGACCTCTACATGGGCCTATCTATCTCATTTTATTGTGCTTCACAGGTATTGCATATTTTACAAATTGAAAGCAAGACCCTCCACTAGCAAAAAGGTTATGACCTGCTTTATTGCAGTGGTCTGGCACTAAATTCGCGATGTCTCTGAGGTATGCCTGCATAAACTTTTAAGATTCTGGTGGGAGGGTAGGGAGATTTACTTGTCTTATGGTCACCCAAGACAAGCCCTGTATATAATTTCCCTAGTTTATTAAGCCTACCACCTACTAATCTGAAGTGGTCTTTTTCTTAGGTCTCTTTCTACCCTCTGGGTATGGGGGACAATTTACCAACCGACAATAACCTCAAACTGAAAATTGGGTTTTAAAATATGATGACATGTAGTCCTTTTCAAAAGTGTAGGCATTTGAGATTTATATTTGTTATTTATATTAATGCTGTTATAAAGTAGCCTACTGTTTTACAGATTAAATAATAACAAAGCATTCAAAATATGAGACAATTTTAAAGTTATTAAATCATAATTAAAGTTATATCATAATTAAATCGAAAGTACATTAAAATTAAAGGTCTGGTCTCCAAAAGACCTGGTAACATGCTAACTTATAAAAGCTGACTGCGTAAAGGAAAATATTATTAAAATGATGAATTTTAACAATATACTAATTTAAGCTGGTTCTTCAACTTTTACTTAAAATTAGATATTTCAGAATCCTCAACTTTTTATGGTTTATAAATAAATATTGGGTAGAATTATCAATTCATTTTATTGATAAATAGAAAAGAAAAAGTCAATTCAATCAAATTTACAAAAGTGATAAAAGGAATAACCATTGAGTTTTATCTTAAATTTGGTCAAATAAAATTTAAAGAAAAAATACCACACTTTATAAAATTGAAGTATATTTTGTGCACTTTTTGAAAAATTTTGAAAGTTTTTGAAATAAAAATTTACAGAAGCTAGGTACAATGGATGGCAAGACATATTTTGTTGTCTGGGTTTTAAAAACAATTGTTTATTTTAACTAGATTTATATATTTCTATATTTATATATTTAACTAGATTTATATCTTGAGAGCTGGGGTTTATATTACTATAAGAAATATTGAAATGCTGAGTATCCAATATATAATCCTAAGAATAATATCTAAAAAGCGTTAAAAGTGTGTGAGTGTGTGTGTGTGTGTATGTGTCTAAAAGAGGGAAGAAGGAGGGAGTATAGATGAAGAGAGAATAGTTAGTCAGAAGCAACTTTAAAGGCAAATATTATGAGAGTCACATATTTTAAGGCAGTGGGCAATTTGCATTCCCCTTTTAAAATATGCTATTTATAATTTTCTACTTTTTATATTTCCTTTAGATTTAAGATTGTACTCTTCATTAAGATTTAGAAATGACAATCTCAGAAAGTAAGTCATAGTTTTGTCATATTTGTGTTGTATAAGTTCCACAAAAAGTATTTTAAGAGACATAAAATACAAATTTCAGCCTAAATTCCATGAAATTGAGAGTGCAAAAGGTGGCATCCATGATGATTATAAAACAAAAGGAAATATTATGTGAATCATTTTGATTCCAAGGAAATTGAACTTCTTAAAAGTCATGTAAGAGACAATGGAGAAGGGGAGAAGGATTTTATTTTTACATACAGATATGTTAATTTTTAAATGTTATCTAAAATGTTTTAGCATAATGTTACATCTAAAATGTAGTATAATCATTGCTTGTGAATTTTATTTTTCCAGGTTGTTTACCAGGAGCATTGAACTGACCAGTTACACGTATATCTGGGAGAACCACAGGCTCATCAGTTTGCCTTGGGATTCTCTATGGACCTGGTATTTAACCTTCTTAGGAGTTGACTTTGGCTACTATTGGTTCCATCGCATGGCCCATGGTAAGTTGCAAATCAAGGCTTGATAATTTATGTTGAATTGTGTTTGGCACATGGTTGGTATTTAGTAAATATTTATTGAGTGAATGAATAAATGAATAGCAGTTTATTTTACAGCATATAAAAATTAATGATGAAATTTTACTTTGCAAATTAAATGAAAACAATGTGAAGTCATTTTGAAAAAAAGTGAAATTATTAGATACATTTTAATTATATATTTTATCTAACTTATTACAAAAGACTTTTTAGAAATTGATGGCTACAACATTACTTTTTAATGTATTGCCTTACATTGTTCTTATTATGACAAGCTTGCTAGAGTATTGTGACACTTGTACACAATATCGAACTTCGCATCCCAATTATCAAGAATCATTCAGAAGAGCTCTGTAACGGGATGGAATCCTAGGTAACACGTGCTGTAATATGTAAGCTTGATTCAAGTTCTTGGCAGTACTTCCACCTTACAAATGAAAATGTGGTCAGCTAGGCACTCACCATAATGCCCAAAGCATTACCATAGCTTTGCAAAATTTCTCGTCTAATTCAGAGCCCTGTTACTGCACTGGTTCTCGGAATTTACTTTTTGGGATTCTTGGCTGCACCTTCCAAAGAAATATTTTGTTATGGAAAGAGAAGTAGAAGAGCAGGAAACGGTCTAAACCTCTGTAGGGATAAGTAGAGTTTGGAGAATGATTGTAGAACTGAGGTGAGCAAGTGGTCTCTAAGGAGGAATAAGGCATGCAAAAGTATTTCTGAAGGGAAATGGGGGAAAGTGCTAATTTTGAAAAACTACTGAAGAGCAGAACTCAGGCTTTCAGTGGGTGGTTGGGTTGAGTGGGTGGGAAGGAAGGAAGGAAGAGGAAGAAACCTGGAATAATAATAAAAAAAATAGATGGGAGATGAAGAGACCTGAGATCAGGGAGAATGACTGAGTTATGTGTGTAGGAGTATGTGTGACCAAATATCCTCCCTGAGCAAAGATGAAGGAAATAAGAGTAGCAACAACAGGCATTGTGCTTAAGGCGGCTAAACATTAAATACACTACTATTTTTTAAACACTTTAAACATGTATATTTCATGAAATTACAAAGAGTTTTAATTCATTAAAATAATTTGGAATGGACATATAAACTAGAAAGAGTAATGTATTTTGTGTGTGATAACTTTTGTCTCTGAAAATAATAGGTCAGCTTCTGACATCATTTCCTTATATATAAATGCAAAAGGATACTCCCAAATCGAACATGATTAAGAATAAAATATGGCCTATGGAGTCAACTTTGTACTTTATTTCAAAATAGTAGTTTTCTCTCTAAAATGAACCCATTGGCAATCTTCCTCACTTTCTTTGCAGCAAATGGGTAATGCAAAAAGCATTTACATTGTATTACTTAATTTCAGGAACCTTCTAATATCACACTGTCCTGTACGGATGTGTTTGTTTGGGAAATCTGCAAATTCACTTAATTTTTGAAAGCTCATTATAACAGGAAACAAAGAACCAACAAAATATTACCAAATATAAAACTTTTAAAAATAAGTTGATTGTAAGTGCTCTCAGGGAAGAGCAATAAAGTAAAATAGTATATTAAAAACATGAAATCAAGGCTGTTTAAAGTATGCTTCCCATTAGAAAAAATTGAACGGAGTCCAGTGGAGGCAGGCATTAAAAAAAATTTGAAAACCTTCTGGAAAAACACTCACCACCTTCAGGCTATGAGGCCTAATCATAAGTTCAAAGACTTGTGACTTGTGATGGAAAGCTAGTAGGAAAAAAATAAATTATGTAGTGTGTCAAACTTCAAAATTACAATCATTTTAAATTCTATATGATAGCGTAAAATATTTAAGAAGGTTTTTATAAATCTAGTAATACACAAGAATATAAAAATTATAATATCAAATTTCTTGAGCCTCTTGGGTTACTGGTTAATTGGGTAAATTTATTCAACTGAAAAGTTTGAACAGTTCTAAAACCCAAATGTTGTTTCAAAATATAAAGGAAAACTCTGCTTTTTCTATTTAATGTGTTACTTTCCTTTCACGATTTGCAATAAAATGATATAATAAAAACATATTCCACATTCATTAATAATTGCTATGAGTTTTGAAGAAAATATATTATCTACTTAAAATTTTGTTTTTACATGTTATATAAGTTACCTTTTTTAGTAACACAAATTGTTGGCAGGTATTTGTTGTTGTTACTTATTTGTTTTGAATGCATGTACAATTTTCTCACGTTAAAGGTACAGTTTGGTATTAGTGAAAGAATTTATTCTCAAAAACTTGAATTCCATCTCTATTTCTATGCAAAAGAGCAGAGGGATATATGAGGCTATATATGTTCTTTATATTTCATTATCTTTTCCTCTGAAATAAAGAGAAAGAAATTGATAATTATTATCAACTTACACAAAAAGACAAATAGTGCAAAAATATCCATAGAATACTTTGACAACTTTAGACAGTAATGTAGAGTGATAAAATTAAACACATTTTTAATTAAAAGTAGCTTCTTGCATGCTTAGTTTCCATTACAAAGGAATACATTACTTTTTTTGTACTTTCTATTAGTTATACTAAACATGTAAGATGATAGTAAAAATTTTTAAGGGAACATTTGAAACATAAATGATTACTGCTTTGTAAAAGCAAGAATGAAGCTTCCAGGGTGCTGGTAATAAATTTTATCTTGTCTTAGATGGTAGTTACATGAGTATATATATTTGTAAAAATTTATTGAGTCGTACACTTATAGTTTATGTACTTTATACCTCAATAAAAAGTTAAGTTGGCAAATAATGCCACTAGCATGATTTCTTGGTAAATAGTTTGAAGTCAGAAAGATATAATAGGTAACCAAATTTAGAAATCAGAACCCAGAAATTATTTGTCGCTATAAGCATAAACACGTGACCTCTTACAGATTTTTACCTTTATCAGTTTCTACGACCAAGGATGGTGGAATAAACAGCAGGCTAGTTATTAATTTTATAGACTCTCTTCTCCAAATGCTTCTTTGCTACTTCTTGCATTACCAGAGGTAGTAGATACTATAGATGTTTCTCCTTTGCCAGCTAATCTGATGTTAGGCTTTGCCAATTTAAAGAGACTGACGGTTACTTCAAAGCCAGAACAGCAGGAAGGGACTTTGCTTTCATTTTCCAGAGTGCTCTTTTCCATATGGAACTTAACAGACCTGGTTGTGTTTACCTTAAGGCTAAGCGGTAGCCTAAATCTTCAGGTAAGATCTCTGCCCTCCAGGAGACAACACCAGAGGACTCTCTGTAACCCTCACCCTCTAGGGCCTTACACACTCTAGCAAGTATCTCTGTCACTAGCAGAGTTCCTGTGGTAGTCACTATGTCATCAAAAATATTTGACTCAGATTGGGAGTGGGGTTTCGTCTACATTTATGAATATCTGCCTTATTCACTCTCTTTCAGCTCTCTAGGAATAGCTGGGTTCTGCAGTTGCTACTCTGTACCACTGAACTACTCCTTGTTTACCTCTTTTAGTAGTTAACTATCTTTTTTACTAGTTAATAATTCTTTATCTTAACTTTTCCTTATTCAAATCATTGGTGTCTGTCTCCTAATTGGACCCTGGCTGATATGGCCAGCCTCCTCACATGTTATGTAGGGTTGTAAATTAGAGTTCACTTAACTTTACCTTTTATTATTTCATTCTGAGGCATTGGTTACACATTGAGGCTACAACACAATTTAGTTCAGTTCTGAAGTAAAGATGTTCATCTGTAAATTGCTATAATAAACAATTGATAAATGCCCCTCTAAACTCTAATTCTTTTAGTTAACTAATGAACCGCATAGTTCATTTTCTATTCATGTCTTTCTGTATTTAAATAAGGGTGGGTGATTTTATTTTTTGTGTAGTTACAAACACTTATTCTCATACTTTATTGTGATTAAGTGAGTCTTTGTATATGACTATTAAACTACAATTTTTTTCATTCTTTTTTGACTTTTAAGGGGGTTAAATTAAATCATTCTAATTTCCATCATTGTTTAAACAAGGGCCATACACAGATGTATTAATTGAAAATTATTTTATTTTGTGTTGGTGCTAGGATTGCGTTCTATATTGAAGAATAGGTTACTTACATTTAGTTCCATTTGTATTTTTCTTAATACTGGAATATACCTAATTTCTTCGCCATATAATATGCCTCACTTTCTTTTAAAAACACAGCGTGATTGTATTCTTATTTTAACACAGAGGGTGAAATTGTCTGTGTATTTGCCTGACTTATTGTCTTTCCTTAGCTTTTACCCATGATTTCCCACCTTCCCTCAGCCCTTGGAGTAGCCATCATTAAGAATACATATATAAAGAAGTCTAGGAATTCCTATCAACTTGCCTATGACTTCCAGTTTCTTATCATTACTTTCCGCTAAGAAATATGGCACTCATGTTAACCATTTTCCTCTGAGTTCATTTCAATAATAGGTAGTATCTTATGTCTAATGTTAAACATTTGTCCATAGAAACACTTTAAATATATATGTGCTGAAAGATTACCATTATTTTTCCCTCAGAGAGCCCTGTATGAGGGAGCTTTCCTTCTAGAAATAACTTATTTTTATCACTGGCAGCTGCAGTGATAAAAAAGAACACCCTTTGGAGTTCTTAGATTCTATATGTGGTAATGTATGGAAAGTATATTTGAAGCAGATTCTGGCCATCATCACCCAGGTGTTGAAGGTATAGATGCATTGGGAGATATCAAGCAAGCAAGTCATACATTTGATAATGAAGAATAAGAGTTTTAGGAATCTCCATTAGACTATTTCTGAACATTGATACTAAAGTGGAGAATTTTTTCCAGGAGTAGTTTAGAGCATTAGAGCAATATGGCTATAGCATATTGCCCAGAGACTAAAAATGGTGTGAAATGAGTAATCAAAATGAAACTGGGAGACAGAGATAAAGATTAATTTATAAGCCCCATCTGACTTGTGACTCTTCTTGA